TTATGTACGTCATGATGCTACTGTGGATTACGGTAGAAGTACTGAATACTGGATACTTACTATCCACTGCATCTCTAAACTAAATACATGGTAAAAAAATAATTTGGTTATCATATCAAATTGTTAGATTTGATTGCAAAAGTCCTCTTATAGAAGCAATTTTTTGAAAGCGATTGATTGATGATACCAATGTGAGCGCTTAACTTATAATTTTGGTAAAACAGCAGCGCCATCAAATGCAGCCTTATGTTGAAACTAGTATTCTATTGTTCAAATTTTAGGCAAGCTTTGAGATAGTCAATTAAATATTATCTTAAAAAATGTGTACACTTCGTTGTGAAATTGATGAAGTTGACACTTTTAGCTGACCAAAATGGGATAAGTAAACCAGTCCCAATAGAGCATTAACAAGAAGTTTATATTCTGGAGAAAAAGCAAAGATCTGTTTCAGCATTGTGTCGATGTATCCGGACCGAGGCCTTGTAGAACTACGAAACCCTAAAGATCTCCATGAACCGTCGAAAGACTTCACTTTTGATGCAATCTACAATGAGAGGTAAAAATTGAAATTTAGGTATCACTTAACCTTGAAATCCTTTGTTTTTTCAAGTTCAAAGCAACTCGATCTCTATGATGAAACATTCCGAGACCTAGTCGACTCAGTGCTTAACGGTTTCAACGGTACCATCTTTGCATATGGACAAACGGGAACTGGAAAGACATATACCATGGAAGGTTGGTTAATCTCATAATGTGCATCCAGCCTATTGTAAAGCCTTGTTTTCTCTCAGGGAAACCTTCGGTGCCGGAAGAAAGAGGAGTGATCTACAATTGTTTTGAACATATATTTCAACATATAGCCCAATCTCGAAATCAGCAATATTTAGTTAGAGCCAGTTATTTAGAAATATATCAGGTTGGTTTTTATAGTCTTCTTAAAAATTCGCGAATCGTCAAAAATCTCATCGTAAGAACTTTTTAGGAAGACCTTCGTGATCTCCTAAGTAAAGATGACAAAGTTAAACTAGAGTTGAAGGAGAAGCCCG